GCTTGCCGCAGCTCCCAGGGCGTCCCCCGAGTCTGCCCTGCAGCTGCGCGCGTCTCGCGCTTTTCCCTTCGCTGCCGTCGCACGCGCGGCGTGCTGCAGCGAGCGGTCCTTCAGCTGCTGCTCCTCCTCCTCCTCTTCCTCCCCCTGGGACTGCACATTTGAGGGAGAGGATGGAAGGAGGGAGGTGAGGGGAGGGGAGAGAAAGGGAGACGAGGCAAGGCAAGGGGAAGGGATTGGGGATGGACGACGACGACGATGATGATGATGCTGGTGATGATGATGATGATGCTGATGATGGCGATCATGATCATGACGATGATGATGATGATGATGACGACGATGACGATGACGACGATTCTGATGATGAAGACGGTGATGATGATTCTGCTGCTGCCGATGATGTTGATGATCATGATGATGACGATGACGATGATGATAATGACGACGATGCCGATGATGATGACGACTATGATGATGCTGTTGCTGATTATGTTGATGATCATGGTGATGACGATGATAATGACGACCTGACCATGATGACGACGATGCTGATGATGACGACGATGATGATGTTGATACTGTTGACGATGGCGATGAGGCTGATGAGGCTAATGGTGAGGATGATGATGGTAATGATGATGGTGATGATGATGATGAGGATGAGGAGGATGGCGACGGCGATCACGAAGATGAAGATGAAGATGATGATGATGATGATGATGATGATGATGATGATGATGTTGATGATGATGATGGTGATGCTGATGATGATGGTGGTCAGGATGATGATGCTGATGATGCTGATGATCATGATGATTCTGATCATGGTGATGATGATCATGGTGATGATGATGACGACGATTGTCATGATGATGATGCTCACGTTGATGGCGATTATGAGGATGATGATGCTGATGCTGATGATGATGACGACTACGACGACTAAGATGATGACACTGATGATGATGACAATGACGACGACGACTATGATGATGACGACGATGATGCTGATGATGCTGATGGCGATGATGATGCTGCTGTTGCTAATGATGATGACGATGGTGATGCTGATGATGATGCTGGTGATGCTGATGCTGATGATGATGGCGACGATGTTGATTTTGATGGATATGCTGATGACGGTGTTGCTGATGATGGTGATACTGATGACGATGCTTAAGGCGTTGATGGTGATGCTGATGAGGATTACGATGCTGATGCTGATTAGGATGATAATGATGCTGGCGATGATGATGGTGATGATGATGACAATAGTGATGATGCTGATGATGATGCTGATTCTGGTGATAATGATGACGATGATGATCATGATCATGATGATCACGATGACGATGAGTCTGATGCTGATGATGATGGTAGTGATGCTGACGGGAATGGCGGTGGCGATGGTGATGGTGATGCTGATGATATTGATGTTGATAACTATGATGATGCTGATGCTGCGGATGATGATACTGCTGGCCATGACAACAACGACGACGATATGATACTGATGCTGATGCTGACGATGATGATGCTGCTGATGATGATGCTGATGATGATGATGGTGGTGGTGGTGGTGATGATGATTATGCTGCTGATGATGATGCTGATGATGCTGATGTGGATGATGCTGACGATGATGATGGGATGCAGGTGATGAGGATGATGATTTGATGATGGTGATGATGATGATGATGATGATGATGTTGATGATGAGGATGATGATGATGATGATGATGATGATGATGATGATGATGATGATGATGATGATGATGATGATGATGATGATGATGACGTAATGATGATGGGGATTATGATGATGATGGTGATGATGATGATGATGATGAGGAGGAGGAGGAGGAGGAGGAGGAGGAGGAGGAGGAGGTGGGGGATATGCGTGTTCATGATAATGATAATGGGGAGGAGGAGGAGGAAGAGGAGGAGGAGGAGGAGGAGGATGAGGAGGAGGGGGATGGAGGCAAGGAGACTTGCAGGGCACAGGGGGAGAGGGGGGGACAGGGGAGGGGGAGAAGGGGTTGGGAAGACGGTCGGGGGAGGAGGATTGGAAATCCTAGAAGCTTCGCGTAACCCCACCAACCCTATTTACTTGGTTATCCTGGTTCACGTCTCATACTGTGGCAGGCACCGAATTCCATGACATTTTGTTTGTGCACGTGCTCGAGCTCTCAGGATACCCCTGCCGTCAGCTCCCCTTCAGCTTCGCGGCTGCTTTGTGAGCGGGCCGGCCGGCCTGTGTCTGTTGTAGCTAATCAGCCTCGTCGTGCCCCGGACTTTGCTTTCGCCGCCTGACTCTTGTCTCGTGGCCGCGACCAAAAAAAATAACCCCACCAACCCGTCCAGAAGCGATACCCAGGCGAGTTGCCCTGATCAGGGATGCGGAGGAACCTGCAATGGAATAAAGGGCTGGGGGCGCCCTCATACCCCAAGAGGGGGGAGATCGAGGAGGAAACGGAGGAGGAATCGGAGGAGGGTGATGGTGATGATAGTGATGATGATTCTGATGATGATGAGGATGATGATGATGATGGTGATAATGAGGATGATGCTGATGCGGATGCTGCTGAGGATGATGCTGCTGCTGATGCTGATGCTGATGCTGATTATGATGCTGATGATGATGCTGATGATGATGCTGCTGCTGATGATGATGATGATTAGTATGATGATGCTGCTGCTGATGATGATGATGCTGATACTGCTGATGCTGATGCTGCTGATGATGATGAGGAGGAGGATTATTCATATGACGATGATCATGATTATGATGATGATGATGATGATGATGATGATGGTGGTGATGATGATGATGATGATGGCGATGGCGATGGCGACGATGCTGATGATGATGATGATGGTGATGATGATGATGATGATGATGATGATGATGATGATGGTGATGATGATGGCGATGATGATGATGATGCTGCTGATGATGATGACGATGACGATGACGATGCGGCTGCTGCTGCTGACGATGATGATGATGCGGAGGAGGAGGACGAGGAGGAGAGGGGGAGGAGAAGGAGGAGGAGGAGGCGGAGGAGGAGGAGGAGGAGGAGGAGGAGGAGGAGGGGGAGGGGGAGGGGGAGGGGGAGGGGCAGGAGGAAGGAGGGAGGAGGTGGAATAGGCGGACGAGAAAGAGGACGAGGAGGAAGGCGAGCAGAAAGGCCAGAGCCCTCTCGGATGCCTCGCGGAGTCTCTTTGGATGTTTCTTGGGAGTTACCTGGAGTCATCTTGAGGCGTCTTGGGTGCCTCTTAGCTGTCCCGGGTGCCCCTCGGAGCATCTTTGGTGCTTCGGGGGAGCCTCTTGGGGCCTCGTGGGGGTCTCGTTGGAGCCTCGTGGGGACCCTTGGGGGCCTCTTGGGGCCTCCTGGGCGCCTCTTGGGGCCCTGTTGGGGCACTCTGGGGAGCCTTGGCGGGCGTTCATCAGGCCATCTGGGAGAAATTCGGTCAAAGAAGGGGGGTACCTAATTAGCGCTGCCTCTTGGCAGCACCTACAAGCGCCTTTTGGGCCCCTGGGGCGCTCTTCGGGCGCTCTTGGGCGCTCTTGGGGCCGTCTTGGGACCCTCTTGGGCTCCTCTTGGGGCCCTGTTAGGCCAGCCATCTTGAGGCCTCGGCGGGCCATTGGAAGCGGAACGGCGAGACAGCCAGAACCATAGAAAACCCAGCATCCTTCATCACCCGTGTTTTTGTCAGTGTTCTTGTTGATCGGCGAGGGGGAGCTTTAATTAGCATGGCTCCCCAGGGGCTCCAACAGTGAGTGGCCTATTGGGACGCTCCTGTGGCGTTCTTGGGCTCTCTGGGGCCGTCGTGGGGCCTTCTTGGGCCCCTCTTGGGTATCTCCTGTGCCTTCGTGGAGCCATCCTAAGGCCTCGGAGAGTCGTCGAACGCGAAAAGGCGAGACGGCAAAAACCATAGAAAACCCGACATCTGTCAACGCCCGTGTTTGTTTGTCAATGTTTTTGTTGATCGACGAGGGGGGCCTTAATTCGCAGCGCCCCCAACCGTCGCCTCTTGAGGCCCTCTAGGGGCGCTCTTGGGGCGCTTTTGGGCGCTTTTGGAGCCGTCTTGTGACCCTCTTGGGCTCTTCTTGGGGCCATCTTGGGCCATCATCGGACCATCTTGAGGCCTCGGCGGGTCATCGAAAGCGAACAGGCGAAGGCAACCAACATTGATGCTCCTTAGGTTTTTGACGGATTTTGGCCTGCTCCGTGACCACTTGGAGCCGTTTAGGGGCGGTCTTGGAGCCTCTTGGAGCACCTTGGAAGCCATCTTGAACCATCTTCAGGCATCTTCAGCCATCCTGGAGGTCATCTTGGGCTATCTGAGGCCCTCGTGGAGCCATTTTGGGCAATCTTGGACGCTCTGACCGCTCGCCGCCCCCCCCCCCCAAACAGACCCAGGGGTAGGGGGTATGGGGGAGGGGTCAGGCTACCTACAAGCCGCACGCCGTTTCGCTCACTCCCACCCGCCCTCTCAACACATAAATATCACCCGAGCCTCAGCATGTTCAGCGGCCGTCTTTGGACAGCTACTGGGAGCCAAGCCAGACCCCATGTGCGCGACGCTGGGGCAAGGTGCGCCCCGCGTGCCAGATGCGCCACGCGCACCCTGTGGGCCCAAGCGTGCCAGGCACGCCTGGTGCGCCAGATGCGCCACGTACTCCACGCGCGCCACTGTGCCGTACACGCGCAGAATGTGCCAGGTGCGCCACGTTCGGGGCACGCGTAGAGTGTGCCAGGTGGGCCCACGTACGTGACATTACACATCGGGAACCATGTCGCCCTTAACCATCCGTGTCGAAAACCAATGCGAAATCGCGGCGGGGTGGCCATCATGATGTCTGGTGGGCCTGCACACAGCAGGGAAAGTGCCAGTGCCCCCGCCGTCCCTGTCAAGAACCTCTTGACAGTGGTCACGGGGCGGCCGCACCTGATCCAGATTCAGCAGAAAAGTATTTTTTTTGGGTCATGGGC